CTCAGTTTTGGGCTCCTCACTACAAGACAGACATGGAAGGGCTGGATCATGTCCAAAGAATTGCAGCGAAGCTGATGAAGGGGCTGGAGCACAGACCTTATGAGTAATGGCTGAGGGAGCCGGTGTTATTTAGTTTGGTGAAGAGGAGGCTCAGGGGAGATCTTATCACTCTGTACAACAACCTGAAAGGAGGTTGCAGTGAGGCAGGTGTTGATCTCTTATCCAGAATAACTACAGTTAAGACAAGAGGAAATGGCCTCAAATTGTGCCAGGGGAGGTTCAGGTTAGACATGGGAAGAGTTGGTGAAGCAGTGGAACAGACTGCATGGAGAAGTGGCGGAGTCACTGCTCCTGGTAGTGTTAAAGAAACGGGTAGAGGAGACACTTACAGACATGGTTTCGCGGGCATGGTATCGAAAGGTTTACGGCTGGACTTGATCTTAAAGGTCTTTTCCAAGCATAATGATTCTATGGTTCTATATTTCATAACTTAACAGGGCAAAGCAACGAGAAACTTGAACTAAGTTAGCTCTGCTTTGAGCTGAGGACTGGACTAGCAACCTCCAAAGGTCCCTTCCAAACTACTTTTTTCTATTATCTCATTCTTGAAATCACAACTAGTTTTACCTTAACTACAAATTATGAAGCAGATCTGGGCTTCTCAAGGCCCCAGGTGACCTGCCCCTCTGGAGTCCCTCTTTCCTATGCCACCTACCCCCTAATTTGTCACTACTTATTTTTGTGACTGGGAAAAAGGTGGATTAGAAAAAGTATCCACTGTACTTGACACGAGTAATAAGCCAATAGATCTCTCAGGCATACCCTGATTTCCACTACAGGGGTGTTCTGCTTCAGCTCTTCCAGTACAGGTATCCAAACAGACCTTCATTTCATAATATTACTACCGTAATATTACTACCCTCTTGTCAAGCAACTTAAAGGATCCCACAATGTGCACATCCATAAATGGAACAACCACTCATCTGGACTACAAGAGAATGAACGTGATCTGCAACCAAGAATTTGAGTGTATTCTCCGGCTGAAAGGACAGAGAAGCAGAGAGGATTTTCTGATTAAGTCACATTATCTTACACATACAAGGTATTTTAATAGAGGTTGATAGCATGGTAAGATCTGAAACTCATCTCCATCAGATTTTATGGTCAACACTGACACTGATAGATAAGTTCCTTAAGGTAGTGTGCTTCAAAGACTGTGGTTGGATTCCCCAGTAAGAAACTGAGGAAGTTTTAGCTCTGACTACCCTTGAGTCAACAAGATCAAGCACTTTGCATAAATGCCCTGGTAGAACTGATGGTATCTGTGCTAAAGGGAAAAATCCAAGAACCTCCTGCCAAAGACTCTGAAAGATGTGGTTCTATCTTTGAGACAGTGAGGAATAACAGAAATATATCAGACTCCTATTGTCATTTCTATAAATTTTTCTAGTATTATGAATCTGGCTGGTATGACCAGTTAGATGAATGTATCATTTTCTTGGTCTATGTCAGATATTTAGTACAGCTATTATTGTGTTTAATATACCATTCCACTTGGTTTGAGATGTATGGGGATGATTCTCAAGAGGCGCTCGATAGTTATCTGAACATTTTGTTTCTGGCATCACATCATGCTTAAGCTTCAGCAGTTTCAGTTTTATGACCAAGTCATGATATCTTGGAGTAGGACCAGAGGCATAAGGGAAGATAGCTTTAGGCTCCCTCCATGGTAAATCTACTACTCAAAGATTCTCCACCTGTTATCAGTTATTGCTATGCCAGATTACCACTTCTGCAGTCAGCTACTGTTTTTTTCCAGGCATCTCTAACATTCCTGTTCTTGTGAGTCTGAGAGATCAAAAGATCACTGAAGATTGGTGTCCTGGCATACTTCTTACCACAGTCAAATAATATTGTACAATATAGACGATTCAAAGTGTAAACTTCATACAGTGAAATGCAACCACATGTGGAGAAAGTACCTTAAATCTATAAACATTATAGCCACATGACCATGGCCAAGTGCCAGAGATAACAAACTTCGACTCTTAACAGGGTTTAAGCGTTCTGGTTTTGCACCGTGTTAATACAGCTTGCTGTTGATATAGGTCTTAGCTAATATCAGTGCCAACTGGGAGCACACACTGGGAGTCTCTTTACCTGTTTCTTGATGTCCTTAGAATTTTTGTCATTCAGCAAGATTTTGCCCAAGAGTAGTTATGAAGGTCTATATAGACTTATCAATATGTCAGGTGTAAGGAGAATGTTTTATTCATAAAATATTGCTAATGGGCAATATACAACTTTTTTGTATTGTTTTGTTTTGTTTGTTTTGGGGGCTTTTTTTCCTTGTGCATGAGAAGCAATTCAGCAAACTACTGAAATAGCTGAAGAGTTTCCTTTGATTGTAACAGGTATTGTACTGAAAGATTTTGAGGCTTCCTTCATTTAAGAGCATACTGAAGGAAGTGTATTGAAAGTTATTATATTTAGATAATTCTATTCTTACTAAAACTTCCTCCTTCATTGGTGCTATTCCTCCAAATGTTACCAGGGAAAGGGGAAAATATTCATTTTTAGGGAAATGTGGGGAAGACAAATTGTAATGTAGGTAAGTAAAAGAGGAAAAGCTATCCCCTTTCTTGGCTGTGTAGCACAATATTTTCAGAAGAAATAGAAAATAAGAATAGAAATTCACTGAAAGATTCTGCAAGCACAGCTACCAAGCATTAGCCAAATCAAAATCCAAGACCAGGAGATGGTTAACATGTCTAAATTCAAAATCTGAATATGGAATTAATAATTCTGGATCATGACTTCAGAACTGATCTTTTGAAAAAACCTTCAGAAATTCTATTACTTACAATTTCTCTTCCGAGCTACAAAATGCCCTTAGTGTATTGTTGGCACAATATATGATGCTGTATATCACTGCCACCTAAAGTACATCATCAGAAACAATGCCAGTACCATGCAGCTAATTTTCTTTTCTAAGAGAGACTGTATTTCAAAGGACCATTTCCAGACTTACTCCCTTTCTGTGACAGTATTTTTATTGAAACACCTAAAAGAGATAGTAAAAAAAGATATCACAGAACATGTTATCTTTCACTGAATCCTGTAAGCCAATGTCTATTATCTTCTTGTTTGACATTCGATAGTAAGAATGTTCCTTGATGAGCATATAGTTAATGTTCAAAGCAAAAAAAGAAAAAAATTCTATTTATCCTCCAAAAACTGCTTTAGCTTTCCAAGTAAAATGAAAACAGTCAAGTTTATTTCTGAATATTTCCAAGGAAGGAGATTCCGAAGCCTCTCTGTCCCAATGTTCAAACACTTACACAGTGAAGAAGTGTTTTTTGTGTTCAAGTGGAATTTCCTATGTTTCAGTTGTGCCCTTTGCCTCTTGTCCTGCAACTGGGCACCACTGAGAGTAGTCTGTCCCCTTCCTCTTTACATCTTCCCTTCAGATATTCATAATAGGATGACAAGATCTCCCTTGGTTTTTCTCTTCTCCATGCAAAGTAGCTGCATTTATCTCAGGCTCTCCTTATACGAGAGATGCTCCTTAAAAATCTTTAGAGCCCTTTGCTGGGCTTGCTCCAAGAAGTCCATGTCCCTCTTGTACTGGGGAGCCCAGAACTGGACACGGTACTCCAAACGTGGCCTCATAGAGGCTGATTAAAGGATCACTTCCCTCCACCTGCTGGCGTGATCTCCCTATTGCACCACAGGATTCTGCTGGCCTTCGCCTTGAGAGTGTATTGCTAGCTTATGGTCAACTTGTTGTGCACCAGGACCTGAGCATGTCTACTTCAAAGCTGCTCTCTAGTTGGTTGTTTCCCAACGTCTGGTGCCTGGATTTATTCCTCTCTAGGAGCAGGACTTTGTGATTCCCTCTGTTGAGATTTATGAGCCTGTCTGTCCAGCCTGATGAGTTCCCTTGAATGGCAGAGAAACCATCTGGTGTGTTAGCCATGCCTCCTAGTTTTGTATCATCAGCTGACTTGCTGAAGGTGCATTTGGTCACATTATCCAGGTCATTAATGAAAATGTTAGTATTGTCATCAGTATTGACTGCTACCAGACACCACTGGTCTCTAGCAGAACTTCACAACATTGATCACAACCTTCTGGGTTTAGCAAGTTTTCAGTCCACCTTCAGACCACTTGTCTAGCCTGAACTTCACTATCACCCATGAGGATGTTTTAGGAGACAGCTGATGAAAAAAAAAAATCACTACTCTCCCTTTATCTCATCATAGAAGCGATCGGATTGATTAAGCATGGTTTTCCCTTTGTAAGTCTATGCTGGCCAGTCACTTTCTTCTCCTTCACATATCTGGAAATAGTGTCCAGGATTAGTTACTCCATCACATTCCCAGGGATGGAGGTGACCACCTTGTAGTTTCCCAGATCATCTTTTTTTACCTCTTGAAGACAGGTTATTTGCTTTCTTCCAGTGCTCTGGATTCTCTTCTCATTACTACGACGTTTCTAAACTAATGAAGAGTGGCCTTGCGGTGACAACAGCCAGCTCCCTCAGCATTCATGGGTGCATCCTGTAACGGTCTATGGACTTTTGCATGCCTAGAGTAATGCAGTGGTGAATCAGGCCCTGTATCTGGAGATAATATTCTCATCCATGGTTTGTGTCTGTATGAGTTAATCTGTAAATTCAGTTAGTATCCAGAAAAGCTCAAACAGATTTACTTTTCAAACCTACTGAACTGTGCAGGGGGATTGTACATACATACAGGTTTGATAAACAGACACGTAGCATTGCTGCCACACCTCTGATAATGCTTATTTCCATCCTTTAAACAAATGGAACAAGTTGTCAGTATGGCTGCATAAAGATCTTGTTACTTGATGTTTTCACGAATAAGCAAAGTAGGAATATAGGCTTAACAAAACAGAAAATTTTCTTGCTATGTAAATATTTATGTAAAAAATTAACTATTAATAAGTACTAGTTATCCATCCCTGGCAAACCAAAGTAAGGAGGATTAAAATGCAGTTTCTCATTCCATTGATCAAAAAGTATACACTGAAGTAGCACAATTGCAGATCTTTGCTGCAGTATGTCATCCTATTTAAGCATGAGAAGACATATGAAGGATGGAATGAGTTAATCACTTTGCCTCTGCCACTGTTCATTTCTCTTCTGGCCTAGAAATGTATCTAAGGTCAATCAAACTGATCTGCATGCTTAGGTTTCCCTTAATTGTTAATCCCAGGTTAAACCTTATAAAGTTTATACATTGTAAAGTCTAAGCATTATTAAGTGTTACTAGGCAATATTAATTAATTAATTATAATATTGCAGACCATTAAGACTTATTTTTTTAAATACCTAACCTGAAGAGAAGGAACTAAAAAGAAATTGTTTGCACCTTTCCATCCTGATAATAATTCTTCTCTAGCCCACTGTAACCAGCTGTGGATTATAACAGAGCATAATTTCTCAATACACAGCTGACAATTCATGCCAAGTAATGTGCCCTCCATAAAATACTTCTATATTAATGTTGAATTAAGAATAAACCAAGAGAAAATAATTATATCTGTGGGGAGATTCTGGCCTTTATCCTTTCTTATACAAAAAGGAGTATGCTGCTCTCAACTAAAGCTAATTGCTGCTAATAAAATTATAGAAAAACAGAAAAACATTATGGCCAAGGAATAACCACATAAAGCAATGAAGTACATGTAACCATTATTAAAAAGTAAATCATCTTGCCATAATATCATGAAAATGCAGAACGTGCAAACATTTTGTGTGTAAATTATTCAAAATAAAAACTGATATCTCAGTTATGAATGGATCATTTTAATTCTATGACATCATAACAGTGCAATTTTATGTCCCTATAAAAATCCTAGACTGCAACATCTCCGGGTCATGTGACAGATGTAAAGGGACCATTTTGCTTGAAGGCTGAATGCAGAAGGTTGAATGGGATTTTCTCAACGCACGTGCTCTCCTTCTGAACTAAAGTAACTAGCTGAATCAGAAGTAACCCAGCTGGGACAAATAAGGACTTAATTATTGAACGCCTCAAGATGGGCAATGGAGCCAGTTCTGAGAGTAAGGAGTCAGCTAGAAGATCCAGAGAACTAGAGAAGAAACTCCAGGAAGATGCGGAGAGGGAATCCAGAACAGTCAAGCTACTATTACTGGGTAAAAAAAAAAAGAATAAAAGTTGGGGTTTTTTTTTCCATGGAGAGATTATTTTGCAATGAAAATACACTGATGAATGAGAAATACTGTTAGAATAAATATTCTGTCTTTTCTTATGAAAAAAATATGGAGTCTTTTTCTTTCTGCTCATCTCTTTCCTGTCATCTCTCTCTCTATTTATTTTTTTTTTCTCCCTCCTGCATTTCCTTTCTTTGGGGCTATGCATTTTCATTTGCAGGAGAATTGAGTAAAGGAATTGATTAAAAAGAAAATACATAGGTGTCACCACATTTTGAAAATGTTTATTTCCAGTTCTTTTGCCTCACTTCCTACAGCATTAGGAAGTGACTTAGAGCTTTTCTCAATGTATTGAAATTATATTGTGGATAGAGGAATGTACTGTACTACTGTCTACTGACAGTATTGAGATCTCAGTTCACAAAGCTGTCCAGCTTTGTGAAGAATATGCCATCTTATGTGATGTGTATACACTTGATACAAGCTACTGACTTTGAGACAGGCTTAAGTTGGTCAAATACAGGAAAAGTGTATTATTATATATTTTCCTGTATGCTCTTAGAAAAAGGAATCTGCATCCTGAGTTAGAATTGGCGTCCATCTATTCCAGTGTTATGTCTCTGGCCTCACCCAAAACTTACCTTTAAGCAGATGCAAGAAATTCTGTAAGAGGAACTTATAGGTTAAGCAGTCCAAGAACAGATTTTTGTTTCTCAATGTCATGTTTTGGTAGTTGTCCTGGAGGTTATCTCACACTAGAACACAGGGTATTCCTCCTAGAAAATACGCATGCATTTAGTACTAGGTCTTTGAATATGTTTGAATGTATGCAATCAACTTTTTATTGACCTCAATAATATCTTAGTCTCAAGATACCTTCAGTAATATGGTTTGAGATTCTTTCACATAGCATGCAATTAAAATTCTATTTCATTCATTGTAAAATTGAAGTATTTCGGTCTTGTCAAATACAGAAGCACTCCTGCATGCAACAACACAAACAGCAGAATTTGAGATACCTTAAAGTTTTCTTTATGTTACATATTTCTACAATATAATTTTTATTCATGTTATACTTAAACCTATTTTGTCAGTATTTTAGAAATGCTTTTTGTTGGGCAACTGTTTTGGCATAGGTCACAAGGAAACAAACATCTGGCTAAAATAAGAAGATTAGAAAGGAAAAAAGAATATAGATGTAAAAGCTTGCATTTGCTTGATGTTGGAAAAGAAAAGGTGAATAAAATACTGTTTGAGCCTAGCACAAAGAGGGAGTGTGTGTGAATTCGAACACCTGGAATCCCCCCATTAGGCCAATGTTCATAAAGGGCACCAAATACCCCCTTTCCTTAGTCAGCCAGTGAAATTACAGGATCCAAACCACTGTATTCACATCTAGGTTCAAGCTAGGAAAATCTCAAATTTTGGATTAGTTTGGTCTGAGCCTGTTATCTTTCCGTGCTTGTAAGGGGATCTTAAAATTCTGCTTTTGCAAGGTGGACAGCTCCATGAATGTCAACCAGAGTAGTTCCAGAGAGAGAGAGGGAAACAGAAACACCCCAAAACTTAAGCATTGAGTCAGACTGCACATATAGCTGTGCTACACACAACCTTTTAAAGAAAGTTTAATTTATGAATGAATAGGAAGCAAATTTATTATAATATATTCTATTTGGGATTATGGTGAGATTCACAGGAAACAATTTACATATAAACAGATTACTACTCATTCACACCATGTGTTATGGACCAGATGTCACCATTGTTTCTTTTGCAGTAGGCGAATTAGTAGAATGTGTCTGGGGCGGGGGGGAGGGGAAAAAAAAGTATATGCATATTATAAGTTTTCAGTCTGATCGTAATGTTCTTATGATTAAAACATAAGAAATGGATAAAATAGTTTTTTTAAATAGGACAATACAGTATCTAATCTAGCCTCTCTGTTTTTCAGTAGGTTACTTTATGAAAATGAAATTATATGAAATCATCCATGGAAACTAATGACACAACTTACATTCAGATCTCATGATCTAGGCAAACACATTATCCCTGATAAGTTAATTGTTTGCTATTTATAGAATAGGCTCAGGGAGAGGAGTCAACAGGAATTTTTTTTCTTCATGTTCTTTGCCAGAAGCTTTAAAACTTCTGTGTTAGGTGCTCTCGTGTTACGCTGATGGCCCAATTTCTTCCTTGTCCACAAATATCTGCATATGTCCTCTGCATACCTGAACTTCCAAAAAATCTGATTGTTTTTATGAGCCT